ATATAAAGCCTTAATAATGCCTTTTCATTTTCTTGTAGATATTTCATCATGCTCGCTATCCTCGGTTTCAGTCCCTGTCAGTGTTAGCAACAGTTTCGGTACCATTTGCTCAGATTCCCCTGAGGCTCTGCAGTGTTTGGTCTTGGAGGACATGGGGGAGAGGCCCTCTTGTTTGGGGGTTGGGAGCTATGTCTCAGCCTCCATTTTTCAACCACTACTGGTAAAAATCAATTGCTGTTTCTCTGACTTCCTGCTTTTCTGCTTTCTGCACTGATGACTGGGCCATGCCACCAGCTGCATGGAACTCACAACTCTCCCAAGAAGGGCTATTGCTGCACCTTCACCCTCCCCCTCCTCTTGCAGGGAGCTCCAGCAGCTGTGAGAGGTAACTTCTTTGTTTCTCCCAGTCCATCATCCTACACCCAGTGTTCTGACCTGTGGTAGCTCTTATGTGCAGATCCCATGCTCAGACTTGCTGGTGTGCAGTTTGGGTGTTTTTTGTTGAATTTTAGATGTTCATCCTATTATTGTTTCAAGGAGAAAGATCTGAGGATATCTCTCACTCTATCATGTTTCTCCAAAACAGGAAAGTTTTCTTAAATCATAGTTTTAGTATTTGCTCTTATTCATTATTTAACTTCTCTCAGATCTTCTTTTATATGCATATTGTGTTTTCTTTGTCTTTATCCATATTTTTCACTCTCTTTCCAAATATTTTTATGCATACAATGAAGGACACATCTTTAACATTACAATTTCATTCGTTTTGGTAATTGCACACATCTTCATAGCCTCTATTCTTCCAAGGAATAGAGAGCATCTGCATTACTTTGGGAAGTTCCCTCATGCCCTTTCCACAAAATAGTCCTTCCCACTCTCAGTCAATCAATACTTTGATGGCTTCCACAATATAACATTTTTGTCTACTCTAAAATTTTAAATAAATTTATGTTCATTTTTTTTAATTTAAGATAATTTTCTATTTTCTATGTTCTATTTATTTTAAGGTATGATCCATTATGTTTATTCACTCTTCTATCCTTTCTAGTTTAGCTTTGATTTCTGAAATTACTTTCTCTTTCACTCCTAATTCTTTCCTGAGTTCTGTTCACATCTCTTTCTTTCCCCAGATTACATTGCTTATGATTTTTCCCCAAAACTGGTTTATGTTGTTCTCTCACAATTTTTATCATCTCCTTTTAGCTAATTTTGAAACACTGGATTTCAGTTTTATGTTGACATGACTTTCTGGTATGTTTATGTCTAATTACTATTACAGTGGTTTATGTAATTGATTTCTTTTTCTTTGCTTCAACTTTTAATATTAGGAACTCATCATTTTATTTCCAGAAAGTACCTAACATAGTGCCTTGCAATAATGAGCAACTGATAAATATATATTTTATTGAACTGAAACCTAGCTGATTGTGATCAATGAGATTTTTTTCACTGCCTTGTGGTGAAAGCAATACTGATCCCATAAAATCCCAAGACTTGTGGGCCAAAATATACAGGGACCTTAAAACTCTTGCTCAACTTCTTTATTAACAATTCTATTTTCAAAAACAAGTTACCCAAGATCATACATTTATTTAATAGGAAAACCGAGGCTAAATTCTTGATTTCCTGACAATTACTATAGTGTTCTTTGTATCATGACAATCTCAAAGTAAAGGAAAATGTTTTCTATGTAATATAAAATTTGTACAGATATTCCATACCTACTTTTTATCTTTGCTTTTCTTTCACAGTCTCTATCAGTTTTCTTACCTGTCTGATATTTACCCAAACTTGTGGGCAAGAGGGTTCTTCAAGTAGTGGTACAGAGAGCAAGAACTAGAAAAGGAAGAGTAGTGGGAGATCACACTCAGGGACAAGGAGGCCCCTTTATTTCTTCCTGCCCCCCTCCCCCACCCCCACCACAACAGCCAGCAGTGGTAAAGCTGCAGGTAAAGCATGAATGGCCAGCGATGCACTTCAAACAGCTTCCTATTCTCAGACTTATACAGACTCAAAGACCACGCCCAGAAGATGAAATTGGGAGCTTAGCTATTGGTGCAGCCTAGAAAGAGTTTGTCAACAAAAGGCAACATCATCCTAGGCAGAGCAGAAGATGTTCAAACAGAAATAAAGAATCAAATGAAAGGTTTTTCTCTTCGTAGTCACTGGTTTTGAATATCATAGACTGAAGGGAAAAATACAGAATAAACAAAGTATTATTTGTTATATAATATAACTGATAATATTGCATAATTATATATCTGTTGTAAAGAACCTTAGAAGGACAGCATAGTCACTGGGCAAGGTTCCAGAAAGCAATGGTGAGGAGACTGATGGATTACCCCAGCCAGTAGCAGTGCTGAGTCACTCTCTCCATTTTATCTCTGAGCTGCTGAACTCAGGCATGGAACAAGGCTATTATCAGGTAGGAGTGCATGGAAGTAAACACAAAGGAAATGAATCAAAAGGAATTATGAAGTTAAAGACTATAGATGACAAGCCAGTCTATATTAAAAGAAATATTAAAAGATGCTGCAGTGACAAAAATAAAACTCCGCTAATATCAGTCTTTTTCATTCAGATGTAATCAAAACACATAATTTTCAAAATTGGAAAAATTTATTCCAAGAAGAAAATGTTCTTTAAGAATTTAAATTGATATATTCATTTGAATATTTTTAAAACATAATAAATAATCGATTTTAAAATGAAGCCAACTTGTAAAACAGGCCAAAATTTTTGCTATAAACTATAGAATTGTGCCCTTAAACTTTAATGTGCAGAAAAATCACTTGTGATCATGTTAAAATATAGATTCTGATTCAGTAGTTGCGAGTGGTATACAAAATTCTGCATTTCTAACAAACTCCCAGGTAGTGATGATGCTTCTGGTTCTCAGCAGGCACTTTGGGTGACAAATTATAGAGAGCACCTAAGAGAGCTAAACTGTGCTATAATAGCAGATTCACATTTGGGCCTTGTACAACTCAAGGAGATCACTAAATAGGGATTATTCTAATCCCATAATACTTGATATTGTTTATTTCAACAAATGTTCACTGAGTACCTGCTATATACCAAGTGCTAGAAAGAGAAAGGTAGCACTGATTCTTTGGTCTTAAGGAGCTCCTGGGCAGAGGCTGGGGCTGGGGGATGGTGGAATGTTGACATTAGTAGCTGTCATTTTGGCAGAGAAAGATACAGCCAGAGCTATAAAAGAACTCATAGCACATGAACACATCAGAAAAAGGGGAGATTACTCTGGCTGAGCAAGAGCATTTGACTCCACTGAGGAGGCAAAATTTGAACAAATGCAACCAAATATCTTTTGTAAGATACTCACAATGGGTCTGGGTAGAAGGAGCTAAGTCTGAGAGAATGAACTAAACTTTAGGAAGATTATTCTAGTCTTGATAGTGCATCCAGCAGATTACAAACTAGATGAGGGGCCTAAGTTTGAGATCAACCCAGCAGCTTCTCTGTGGAAGGAGGAAGATTAGAGAAGTGGAGTGTTTGGACTGGAAATATCTCAATAAGAATATTATGCTAGCTTGGAAGATGATCAAACACAGAGATGATGCTTAAACACATGATATGCCTTGTGTGTTACAGGTGTTCACAAGATCTTGTTAAAATATTTTAATTAATGGTTTTAGTTCTCAGATTGTGAATGTGCCTCCAGAACTAAATACTTCTTAGTGCCAGTGTGTTTTTTGACACAATGTAACATTAATAATACCCACCAATTTCTCAGTACGTATACTGTAGTTTGACTCATTTGTCAACTCTATTAAAATGTTATTTTCCAATTAGTCACAAATGTGTGTTCTCTGTTTCCCCTCCTTTGATTAGTCTGAAATTGTAGATTCCTGTAGATACCATCGAATAAAGCAGTTATACTGTAAGAAGTTTCTTAAATCTCCTAGAAAGCCAGAGCACCCAAAGTCTCCAAGAGAGAATATTTTCCTTCATAATAGTTATTAACTTGCAAAAAGGAAAAACCTGAAGAAATTCATTCTTTATCTTCAAAAAATTTAAGCTTGGTTTCTTTTTTCTTCCTTTTCTTTCTTTCTTTCTTTCTTTCTTTCTTTCTTTCTTTCTTTCTTTCTTTCTTTCTTTCTTTCTTTCTTTTTTCCTTTCTTCCTTTCTTTCTTTCAACATTTAAAACCATAGAAAAGAATACAATCTAGGAAGAAATAATTTAGAGGACTTATTATCTGCATCCCAAATATGTAGATGTTTCTCTAAGTCAAACACCATAGAGGCATGGAAATTTCTAGTCTGATATCTGTGGCTGTGTTGCAAGGGCAATAGGCATGTATGAGTGTTAAGCTGATTCTAATACCTATATTAGAATGTAATATTCTAGAATGTGCATGTGAGTATTTCCTCAGATGGGGGATTTTGTCCATATATAGTACTAATGGTATGGACCTTCTCTTCATTTATCTTCAAAATCTTTGTGGGATGTCATTCTAAACCCTTTTTCCCTTGGGTGTGTGGTTTTAGCTTGAATGAATAGTCATAGACCTGGGAAGACTCCACCCTTATTACAGATTTACAACCTTAATTTCCCTGTGGATTGTTCCAATGTTAATGTGATTGAGTTTCCCCATGACTCTCAGGATGTCTGCTGGCAATCGTATGTTTCTCTAGAGCTGCAGTAGTTCTAATTCCTGCAAAGTCTCCATTTAGAAACAGACTTTACAGAGATGCAAATAATCAATTTCTGGTTTACTTTGGCTTACTGCTCTGATAGAGCCTTTCTAAAATTGATGGAATAGATAGGACTGGAATATCATCTGACTCTCCTAGCTACTGTACATTATCGGCTGACTAGTACACAACACAAGGGTCTGGATGATTAGCTCTTTTTTGGGTGTGATATTCTTTTCTCATCTCTGTTTCTATCTTCTCCAGGAGACATGAGTTCCATGAGGCAAATGTGACCCTGGAATCCAACCTTCTAGCGTTGTACCTGGTTGGGGAGAGAAAGCACCATGGATGGCATAATTGAACAGAATAGTGTGCTGGTACACAGCAAAATCAGCGATGCTGGCACAAGGAATGGCTTAATTAACACCAGAAATTTCATGGCTGAGAGCAGAGATGGCCTGGTGTCTGTTTACCCAGCACCCCAGTACCAGAGCTGCCGAGTGGTGGGCAGTGCAGCATCGGCCACCTTGGACAGCAGCAGGAACGAGACAGTCCAGCAACTGCTAGACCCCAACACCCTTCAGCAGTCAGTGGAATCCCACTACCGTCCCAACATCATACTCTACTCGGAAGGCATGCTGCACTCCTTGGGGGATGGCGTGGCTGCTGACTGCTGCGAAACCACCTTCATCGAGGACCGGTCACCCACCAAAGAGAGCCTGGAGTACCCCGATGGGAAGTTCATTGACCTCTCAGCTGAAGACATCAAAATCCACACCCTCTCCTATGATGTGGAAGAGGAAGAGGAATTCCAGGAGCTGGAGGTCAGAGGATGTGTTTGTCATAGGCCTTCGAGAATGGGGCAAAGGTTTTGGTGAGAACCCATGAGTGACTGGCAAAAGTGAGGGAATGAAACTAGTGTGTGATAATGCAGAAACCGAAACATTCTTGGTACCCCTTAACTCTTGAATATGTGTGGAAAATGAAAGGAATGAAGAGAAACTAGATCACCAAGACCCAGTGAGGGCTTAAGCAGGGATTCTGATCAGAAATGACCCAAAGTAATAGCTCTTAAGGTAGGGCCACAAGTGGATTTAAAGATTGTCAGCGCTGGTAGGTCACTTGGGGATATCCAACAACATCCAAACCACAGGAGAGAGGGGTCATTGGCAAAAGCGAGCAAGGTGAGAGAGGGATATGTGGTCTTAGGACCACAGAAGACTAAAAGAGTATGTGTGAGACAATTTGGGAAGTATTTTTGCTGCAACATATGTGTGGTTTCCTTAATAGCCTAAAGAGAAGACGAGTTGAATTATTCCAGGAGTCACTTCTTCAGTAGACTGGAGGGCAAAAAGGGTGTTTGGACTACATTCTCAGAAATGTGCATATTGGACACAGTATAGCATGGCACAGCAACCTCTGGTTATACAACTCATCCCTTCCCCTTCCATGCAGCCTCCCCACATGGAAGGGCAAGAGTGAGCTGCACAGATTTAAACAAAAGCCACATGTTTCTCAACTAGAAGGTGGGTACCCAAGCTTGAGGAAGTAATTTCACTTCTGTGAGAGTAGAAGGTATTCCTCCAGGATGTGGGTGGCAGAAAGAGAAGGTCCAGATTTTCAGTCAGTTTGGAGAAGAAAGTCCTTCAGGAGGAAGTGTGTGGTCAAAGGGAATGAAGTCTGTATTTGGCTAAGGTAGGTAAAAATATTTTGCAGGTTAAAGGGAAATGTTAAAAGTGCAAAGGATGAAGGATCAGTGCTGGGGAGCTGTCTAAGGCAGACAAAGACATTCATCCAAGCATATGTGCAGAAGTTCTGGCCTTTGGTGAGAAGTCAGCATACTTCTTGTCTGAGAGAGAACGGAAGGGTGGAAAGAAGGTTAATGAACTAAAATGCTCTGGATTGTACAAAAACTTTTTAGTTTGATGTAGTCCCATTTGTTTATTTTTTCTTTTGTTTCTCTTGCCCAAGGAGATATATCTGAAAAGAAATTCCTGTTAGTAATATCAGAGAGTTTACTGCCTATGTTTTCTTCTAAAAGTTTTATGGTTTCAGGTCTTACATTTAAGTCTTAACCCATTTTGAGTCTATTCTTGTATACGATGTAAGAAGATGGTCCATCTTTTTTTTTTCCTTGTATCTGTCCAATTTTCCCAACATCATTTATTTAAGAGACAGTCTTATTCCATTGTATATTCTTACCTCCTTTGTAATATATTAAGTGAGCGTATAGACATGAATTTGTTTCTGGGCTCTCTATTTTGTTCCATTGATCAATGTATCTGTTTTTATGCCAGTACCATGCTGTTTTTATTACTGTAGCCTTGTAGTATAGTTTGATATCAGGTAGTGTGATACCTCCAATTTTGTTCTTCTTTCTCAAGAATAGCCAAAGGAAACCATCAACAAAACAAAAAGACAACCGACTGTTTGGGAGCAGATATTCACTAATTATACATCTGATAAGGGGTTAATATCCAAAATTTATATAGAAATTATACAAAAAAAGAAACAATCCTATTAAAAAATGGGCAGAAGACCTGAACAGATACTTCTCCAAAGAGGAAATACAGTTGGCTAACAGACATGTGAAAAGATGCTCAAGGTCACTAATCATCATAGAAATGAAAGTTAAAACCACAATGAGATATCACCTCACACCTGTCAGCATGGCTCTCATCAATAAACAAAATACGG